GCAAGGCGCAGTGGATGGTGGCATCGCTAGCTTTCCTGTTCAATTGCTTGAGGATATTTAAGTTTTCTTGTGTGACTAGGTAATCTGAAAACTAATTTTAGCCCGTGTGTGCCTGGTTTGACCATCTCGAGGAAATCATCTCAAAATTAAAAAGTTCAGTTCCATTTTTGCTTGGGTTATTGCACTTCTCGTAAGAACCTAAATGAAAACCATATATCATGAAAACATATATCATGAGTTCTTTCCACAAATTTGCTATTTTCTTTCTTCGCTCTCTATGTACTTTGCACTGAACAGTCTGTGGTTGTAATTACAGTATTATAATATTACAGTATTATATCTTCATTCCGGATGCTTATTAAAGAACAGTTGTTTAGAAGTGCAGTTAAGATATTTCTGTTCAGACTTCACTTAATTTTGAACAGTCAAAGTCTAAATTAAGATCCTACCCCGTATAACGGCTACCCCGTTGTACGGTCAAATTGTCATGGTCCGTTGGGGCTACACTACAGGTACACATGTATAAACAGATCGAGACTATTCACAAGCCATAAGCTTCTTTTATCTAATCAATGTTTTTCTGTATTTGTAGGACCACAGGATTATACACAAAAACCTTGGCCAAGATTATTAGAAAAGACTTGACAAGATTCATGGTAGTTTTTGCCGTGGTTTTTCTCTCCTTTTGTGGCTCGTTGTTCTTGTCTCTTCGTTCGTCGAAGCAAAGCCAACAATTTAGGTGAGTGTTGAATTAAAATAAATGCGCTTATGAAAACTTCCTTTATTACAACTTGCTTAAAAGATAACCTTGAAACCAGTCTTTGTCCACGAGTCATTTTGTGTTACTCTTCCTGCAAACTTCACAGAACTGACAGACTTCATTTCACGCGTTCAATCTCTTACGTCGCTCGAAAGACGATTGAGACTGGACCCGAAAAATTCCATGCTGATGACGGGCTCTCTGATTGGTTGTGACTTGCGCGCTAAAATTTTAAACCTGGTAAGAGCCCATTCGAACGTTTTATGACGTGTAAATATTGTAAATATAGATCAGGTTCTTATAAGGTCAGTAGTTTTTAAATTTTTACTTATTATTACATTGTTATTAGGTCTTTCTTTTATTTTATGCACGACCCCACAAGCTTTTAGCTTTAAAACTTATCGTGTTGAA